ATATATATATATATCTGTGGATTGATGAGTGTATCTGCTGCTGCTACTGAATTTCCCCGCACGGGACAATAAAGGCTGTTTCGTTTCTATTCTATTCGTTTCTATATACCTCTGAAATAAATTCTGGTACTTTTCTACTATTTTACCATTCAAAATAAAGTTTTAAAGATATTTTTTCTCCATACAGATCTTTATAAACAAGGCCTATATTAGTCTTTGTAAGCTGTAAGTGTCCTTCAAATTAAATGTTATARTTTAATTACTTTAATTGCACATGTGAGCGTACAAACAACCACACTCTCTCGCTGCGATCTCGCTGCTTGGGAATCAGGTTCCCTTCAACTTCCTGGGGCCCCACCCGACTTTTTAGCTTCGCTCTTGGGCTCCAGCTGAAGCACCTCTTTCACGTGGGAATGAGCTCCCGTTTGGAGGAAGAGCACACAATGGCACTTCCCACAATGCCACATTTACAGGCCCCCGCACAGAGCCGGAGGAACAATCAGCCAATCAGACACTGTCAGGCCCCCCGGCCCCCGCTGACAATCATCAATTGTTGTCCAGGAGGAAGATAGGGGAAACAACAATCAGTCGCGGGGGTTAAGTGACTTTTCTTCGTGTCTTTTACTGCTGTTCTCCACACAATCACGGCTCAACACGTCAACTTCCTCTCTTTGGACCCCCACAAGGGAATTACTAGAGAGAGAATGTGGTCGGTGGGGGTAAATGGGGGGAAAAGGGGAGTAAAATAAAGACATATAGAAATAAAAACAATAAGGATGCATGCAGTCATCTTGTCCAATTATAGTGTGTGTATGAGAATCTCCAGTCACCTCATTGTGAATCTTAAAATCTCCTCATGATGGAATAATTCGTTGTTGCTCTGTGGAAAAGTTTTGTCTCCATTCATGTGTTGCAGGGATATTCAGAAAAAAGCCTTAAATTAGAGCTGAGTCACGGGTTGAAAACAAGGGCGCTGGTTGTGTAAAAGTGGCACAGGTCCAGGAAGTGTGGGAAGAAAATAGCGCAAGTTTTATTTCAACACAATTCAGTTTTATTCTATAAACAACTCGTAGCTTTTTGTGACAAACCGGTAAAACCGCATCTAGATCAGTTTCTAAGGGAAAAAAACAGAAATGTCACAATGAAAAATAAACTTTCAGACCCAAGTTTTTTCCAATAAGGTTTTGTTCGTTTAAGGCACACAAAAAAGTAATATATTACTGAATTAGTTACAGTTATTTTAATAATAGAGAAAAAACACAAAGCTTTAGCAGCAGAACATTTTGTGACATTTGTGACTTGTGAAATTTGAGCGGGTTCAACAAAAACAATCACTTCATTCACAAGTCTGAACTGCAGCAGACGCAGTAGAAATCACTCAACAGACATTTATTTAACTGCAGCTCTGTCCTACTTTCCTTTATTCTGCTTTTATGTACAATTAGGTGGTGTTGCATCGTGTCACTTTTCAACAATACAAAACAGAGAAAACTAATTAAACAATTTGAGCTGATCTTTGGCTGACAATAAAAGTATTTTTTTGGCTTCCATCCACTGCTGTGGTTAACGAACTGGTTTGTCAAAACAACTTGTCTTGAAATTAATCAGTCATGTTTTTATACAAGTCAAGTGCAATTTAAAGAGTTTTACAGTGGAGGAAAAAATATCTATCCTAAGTTAAATCCTGACCAAAACGATGAGATTTTAATCTACAATTAAAAGTATCCAGATTACTTTTGAGTATCTTTTGAAGACTTCTCGTTCCACAGCTAAAAGAGAGGAACCAGAGGATCTGAGGACTCATCCTGGTTTATAAACCAGAAAAGAGACAACATACATGATATTGTCGGCAAATATGTAATATATAAGTGTTGAAAGTTGTGTCACTAAACTCTTATAATTGCAAGCCATTGATCAAATGAAACATTTAGAAATTGGGTGTTTTCAGCTTCTTTCAGTTTAAACTTTTTTTATTTTGGACAAATCAAATAAAACTACACAGAAGAAGGAAAATGTGAAAGGACAGTTTTGGGTTAGCCTGGTTTAAACCAGACCCTGTCCTTCACTTTGCTTCGTACCAGGGTCTGGACTTGAAGCATAGAGAATCGTTTCTCGCAGGAGGCGTGGCCTCTGCTGAGTTTAAAATGATTGGATCAGTTGGCTGCGACGTATCCTATGTCACATGTCATAAAGGGATATAGTGTAATCACAAGGACTATTTTATTGGAATTCAATTTTTAGATTTTCCGTCCTAGAGCTTTACCTATTTTTTCCTTCATCCTTAAAATTACCTGCTACAACTCATGGTTGTCCTACACGTCATTAAAGGAGACATATCCACTTTTTTAGCCCTTAAATACATTTTGTTGTGTGCTTGGAGTCTCTAGAGCAGTGTTATTCAACCCTGGTGCTCAAGGCACACTGCCCTGCATGTTTTAGATCAGGGATAGTCAATTACGGTCATCGAGGTCCGCAGCCCTGCACGTTTTACTTGTTTCTCTTCTCCGACACACCTGATTTGAATGAATGGATTATTTTCAGGCTTCTGCAGAACTTGGAAGAGGTGATTCACTGACTGAATCAGCTGTGTTAGAGAAGGGGAAAAAAGTAAAACGTGCAGGGCTGCAGACCTCGAGGATCGGAATTGATTATTCCTGTTTAAGAAGTTTCCCTACTTCAACACAGCTGATTCGGATGACTGCAATTAAACAAAAGCCTGTTAATCAGTTATCAATTGATAACTGGTTATCAATTGATAACTGATTAACAGGCTTTTGTTGAATTGCAGGACAGTGTGCCTTGAGGACCATGGTTGGGAAACACTGCTCTAGAAGTGCAGAAAACTTGAATTTATTTTCTCCCAGTGCTATGTAGATGTCTTTATATTCTGTTTAGGTCATTTTTTTCAACTTGTTCAATTTTTTCTATTATCCATGACATTTTCTGAACTATACTATATCATGGAATTGCTAAATAAAGTCTGGACTTACCAACTACAGTTTGGTGGTCTTTATTCTCCTCTAGCTCTGGGTCAGACTGTGGCTCCAACATGTAAAGCTGGATGGTCAAGTCTTCAACATCTTTTAATTATTTTGTAAATAAAAGCTTTCTGTGCAGCTATATAATTGTAAACTCCTCTATCAAACTAAAATGTACCAGTGTGGACGCTGGAGGGGGGGAAGGGAGTGAAGCGCCTCGTTTGGATTATTTTCCTTTAAGAAACGAGACATTTCAGGTGAAAAAGTTGATGCGTTCGATCAGTAGGAGTTTGATGTCTGCTCTGTTATATGTTGGTCAGCAGAAGATTGTAGTTTGGGCTGATGTGTTTTTGTTCTGCATTAATTGATGCCCGCTTGTACCTTTGATTCATTGACAAAATTCCACGCACACTGACGTGTAAATCACTGTTCTGCGTTTGTCCTCACAGTTCTGGAGCCTCCCGTGCTGCTCACTAACCTGACAGACTGCACCGTCAACGTCAGCAGCTCGGTGACCCTCACCTGTCTGTCTCGAGGGGTCCCGCCTCCAACCGTCACATGGTATAAAGATGAGCGTCCACTACGGCAGGGATCAGGTAAAAATGAATGATCTAAATATATAAACTGTAACTCAAGTCTGGCGTCCTGAGGTCTTTGCCCCTGCAATCGCCAGGTATTGTTATAACAGCAGGAGACGGGAGCCTCCATATTGACAGAATCACAGTGGAGGACCGGGGTCTGTATACGTGTCTGGCCTCCAACGAGAGGGGGTCTGCGGAGAGCTCGGCCTACGTATCAGTCAACAGTAAGTACAATATGTGTTCCTTCAGCACGTCTGCTGAAACCTGAAGGTAGTTCACATCCATTTGTGACCACTTCTTATTGTGCATTGTTCCCGACATACGGTCTGGATGTATGCACACACATGTACTACAGTATTTCACATTGTTTTCATGTAGTGTTCATACAGAGGTGTGGCGTGTCAGTTCTATTAATGGAAGATGATGAACGTCAGTTTCTGAGTAAACATTGATCAAAGTTGGTCTTAACATAAACGCTCTCAGCCTTTTGTTCCGTGTTCCTCATTCACACACACACACACACACACACACACACACACACACACACACACACAC